TGAACCGCTGCGGGGTGAGAGAAGGAGCATGATTTTTCACGGCTTTTAGTCACTCCTGGGTATCATATTCCAGAATCCCACTTGGCCCATCGGGGCCAGCATTTTCCAGAGCAAGAAAAGAAATTGCACAGTTGCTTATAAAATAGCTGAGGGGTTGCTGGAGGTTTCACCCCAGAGCAAGGACACGATGCCACTGTGAGCTGCTATGTCATTTAATTAATAATATTAATTTTTTTCTGCTCTTGGAGTCCCCAGTGCTTTCTCCTTCTCGCTTCAACTTTCACAGGGTCAGCTGAAAGGGGCTGTAGCAATGAGCAGAGGCGTTTTACTCGGAGAAGCAGGACATGAGCTGGGCACTAACTTTTGGATGCTGATTTGGAAAGGTGCTGCTCAGCCAGGTATTTAGCCTTGGCCGACGTGATGACCCCTGCCTGGGATAAACCCTTTCCCCGTTGCTGCTGTTCAGTATAAGGGAAGCTCTCCAACATGCACCATGTATGAAATACCAGGTTTTGGTACCCGGGTGCTCTCCTGCCGGCGATGAGCATCGGCCCGGCGCCGAGTGGGACGGGCATCGCCGTCAGACACCCACGGCACGGCTGGGCTGCAAAAATGTAGCACTTAGAGCCTGGAACCGACTGATGGCTGCAAGAGCAGGTAAATGCAAAAGTCTGCTTCCGTGCAAGGTCCTGCCTCTGGGGACATCCCTGCCACCCCAGGGGCTGGCTCCTCGGTGGCAGCCGGAGGCACCTGACCCTCGGGGGGTGGTTGGAGCCGGCAGCGTTGCAGCCTCGGCCGGGTGATACCTCGACAGCTGGCTTTGCTCAGCTCCACGTCTAAACCTCCCACTGGGGTTTGCACTGATGAGGGCTGACGCCTCAGGGATAAATGGGGCATTTATTTGCCATGCCCAGCCACGGCCAGGTGCTGTAACCAGACCAGGAGCAGCCTTCCCAGGGGCATTAACAGGAGAATAAATCTCCAGCCACGGCTAGCACAGCTGGCTCCAGCCCTGTGCGGACCCTGGCCTGCCCCAGGAGGTGGGGCGTACCAGACACAGGTTTTCTTTTTATTTATTTATTTATTATTATTTTTTTCCCCAGCAATAGCAGCTGCTGACAAAATCTCCCATATTAGCTGGGCTTGCCAGGGCGCTGCCTCTGCTCTGAGCAAACACGGCGCGGGGGGTGGTTGCATTTGCTGGCTGCCCTCTGCAAACAGCAGGTCCCGCTCCGTGCCGCAGAGTGTGACAGTCGCCCCGCAATGTCCCTGTGGCCGGGCCTTGAGCACGCCCCGCGGCCCCAGTGGCCTGGCGCTGGGCGCGAGCCACGAGCAGGCGTGTTGGCTGGGCGCAAGCACTCACGCCACCCAGCTCGGTGGACTCCAAAACAAGGGGTTGGCGCAATTGGGATGGGGAAACTGAGGCAGGGGTTTGCCGATATCAGCGCTTAGAAAAGCTCTGCCCAGCAGGACTGTGCAGGATCGAGCCTGCTTTCAGTTTGGGGTCACGTACTGGTAACGCCTTCCCAAGACCGAATTCAGACCGCAGTGCAGGGGAGAGCGAAGCCAGCTCTGCACGTGCAGCCGTGCGGAGTGCAGCAGCGGCGGCGATGGCAATGGCACACGCTTGCAGCCTCATGCACGCAATGATCAGCTGCAGTTTTGCAGCACGCCTGGCTAGTTCATTCCTGCATTAGCCATCACGTTTTCTGTGACCTAGAAAACTCCAGCTGGCGCGCGCAAACCG